AGGTACCGTGTGATAGTATATATATATATATATATATATATATATATATATACACACATACATACACACATACATACACACATACATACATACATACATACATACATACATACATATGTATATATATATATATATATATATATATATATATATATATATATATATATATATATATATATATATATATATATATATTGGTGTATATATATTGGTGTATAAGTAATAATATCAAAGTACTGTATATGCATTGCATCATACCTTGGAGTTGTTCAAGTATTTATTTCCGTAAGATATTTCTATGGATCCGTTAAAGGACACTTGCAATGCACAAATGACAGCATAGGCTCCAAAGTCAACTTTAAGGCAAGGTTCTGTAAAATTTGATGGCCAACACCACGGCTCAGTGCCATTTAAGATGCGCAAATTTTTGCTAAGAAATTTTTTAGGAAGCGAATTGATAACAACGCCCGGAGCATTTGCGTCTATGACAGCATTTTCGCATTTTTCTGTAAAGAAGAAAGAAAGCTGCTGTAACACCTTTTATAATTAGCACCAAACTTTCCCAACCTGAAACGTGCCAACTAAGACAACTATAATATAAATTGATGAAATCATGGGAAAAATATATATTCCCCAAGATAGGACCGAAAAACCGCTGATCCGATCTTGTTTTCGAATCAAAAACCTTCACAAAACTCGTTTGTATTTTGATACACTATTAAAATAAACGTCATAAACTAACATTTCATAGTCACGTTGTTTTTCCCTAGTTCACGTGACCCCTAACCGAGGGGTTGCTTGATCTAAGAATAAGGGAGGGGGGGGGTGAAAGTCTGCCTCACCCTCCCCTAAAAATATGAGTGCTTCTTATATTTTTATCAAATTTAACTGTTCGAATGTTCATAAGCTTAATAAGTGTTTTACTACTATGTTCATAATCTTAATAAGTGTTTTAATTTAACGATTCCCTTATCTTTTGTTCTGCATCTTTTGCTGCCTGTCTTTTCTCTCTGTTGGTACTCACTTCAGTCTTGCGCAAAGTACTTCTGAGTACCTTCCTTGGTACTCACTTCAGTCTTGCGCAAAGTACTTCTGATCTCCAAGGGACACAGCAGCTGGATTGGGCGTTGAAAGCAATTCCCTTTGTGTAACAGTATCGCTCCTCGAATTATCCCATCTTTCCTTTGACGTGTCTGATTACTCTTCCTTTCAACCATTTCCCTCGATTTTTCTCCTCTCCAACAATCAGGACTACTTCATCAATTTGCGGAACTTCATTACGACCTTTGTTCACTCTGTGAAACTCCATCAAGGCATGCGCGTACTCTTTCCGCCATTTTGACCATGCATGTTGTCTAGCCAGTTCAAGTCGTTTTTGTACCCGGCTCGTTTCGTCCTCGTCGAGTTCATCTGGTTCGATCGTGTATGCATCCTGTCCTCAAAGGATAACATTAGGTGTCAGGATCTCTTCTTCGCCACGATCGTTTTCTACATAATTTGTGTCAATGGACGATTGTTCAGGTTTCGTTCGACTACGGTTTGAAGTTAGCATAATGTTAGGTTCTTCAGTTCTTGTATTAACCGTTCGTACATTCCTCTCCACCACGAAGATTTCGCGAATTTAAACGTCCAGTGGATTTCTTGGGTCGCCCAGTAGTTATGCAACCTTTCGCTTCCTGGTATTTTCTTTATCCAAGTTGCCGTCGCCTTGAATACCGTCGCGTTGTCAGAGATTATTCACAGAGGTCTTGTCTTTCCGGTGATGATTAAGTTCAATATCTGTTGGAACTCATCAGCGACTGTGTGAATGCGTCAACTCGAGGTGGACCGCTCTAGATGTGGCGCGCGTGAATATAACCACATAACACTTTTCCGTTAGTTTCATTCTTATTGACCTTGCAAATCAAGAGCCACCGAAGTCTACTCTCGTAACTTCGAATGGTGTTCTCTCGGTGGTTCTGAAATCGGCTAAAGGTGTTGTTGCTCCATACGGTTCAGTTGAGTAGATTTGACAATTTGACATGTGTTACATCTCCTAATTATTTTCATTTATTTTCGATCGCAATTATGACACCCAGCAATGCTCTCGTATTGTTTCCATAGTATTTGCCACGCCTAGATGCATAATCTTCTCATGTGTGTACGCTATCAACTTCTGGACAAATTGTCCTGCGTTCAAATAGATTGGTCTGCATCCTGTGATTCTTCCCTCGCACTTTAGGATATCCGTATCCTCGTGTTTAACTAGTCGCCAACCTGGGACCTCTGTCTCGTCAAGAACATTGCGCTGGACTCTCCGAATCCAATACTTCTTTGCCGTTTCTATTTCACCAGTATCAACAGGAATTTTCTCCTTCAACCCACGTTTCTTGTATAGACTCTTATTTACGAATCTCGGAACCCATGCAGTTATACGTAGACTTCTCCAGTAAGGATTCCTGTCTAGTGACGTGTCCCATTCGTCTGACACGTTATCCCCGACATGATAGACCGTTTGTTTAATGGGTATACTTTCTTGGTTGGCGTACTTGAGACTCGTTAGTTTTGGTTGATCAGGCCATTGTTCTTTGTCCAATAGCTACTTAGGACCCGTGAACCACCTTGACTGCCTAGGTTCGCAATGTTTTCTTCGGTAGGACAGTACTTCCACTGGATTCCGATTTCTGCAGTGATCGACGCAATTTTCTGACCCGATTTGCAACAAACACTTTCCAGGACTTAGCAAGATTTGATATCCAGAAAAGTGCTACTAAACTGTCTATCCAAACCGTTACTGAGACTATAAGCATTCTTCTTAGTGCATATGTTTCTCGTCATGTTTGCAGCCAGTTTACTAGCATTTCGATCATCGTCCTCTCTTTTGTTCCAGGTCAGACCCAGAATGTTCGAGGGATTTGGCATTCCTTCGCTTTCCAATAATTTCACGTTCAACTACCACTTGTGCATGGAAAACATTTAACATTTCAAGACTTCTGTCGCTTCATGTTTAAACGTCTCCAGCTCCAAAATATCATTCGCCGTCTTCATCACATTGTCAACATATGTGTTTTCCCTTAACGCTTCAGAGGTTGTCTCAAACTCTGCTGGCTGTTGATCTAGATGGTATTACATCGTTGCTTACAACACGAATGCGCTTGTCTCCACCCCAAATGGTACTCGTATGAATCGAAGATGTTCCTCTTTCCCATTGATGTTAAACAGAAATCTGAAGGTATCTCGGTCTTTCCCCGTAATACCAACTTGCAGAAATGGTTTCTGAATATCTGCCAAAACAGTGTTGGAGGCAACCCTTGCTCTCATCATTATATCCCACAGGAGTGGTTGAAGTGGTCAGGGCGCTGTAAAACACGGGCGGTGAAACGGCTATGGCGCCCCTGATCTATGTGTGATGCAGGTCCCCCCGCATATTTTCATTTTTATTCGATGCCTGGTTCGATCAGGCATGTTTGTTTTGACTTCCTTTTAAAATTACTACGTAAAAAAGTACAATTCGAGCATGAATACACAATGGATTTGGGATCTGTGCTATTTAATACTATAGACAAAATCTTTTTTCCGGATTCTTAATCACGGCTGATTATACAGGGACCGTTGTAATGTAGATAGAAGTCTGGGATCTCACTCACGAGGATC